AGTTTGAGTCTTTCCATAAAAAAAGAGCACTGACTTTCAGATTCATTACATCAATATGATGCATGAAAGTAATATTAATATTAAAGACACTCAGCCGGATCTTAAAACATGTACAGCAAAAACTGTACATGTACAATATATTGCCATACGCAGCCTCCAGCAGAGGTTTTCTATAGTTATAGAGGTAAGAATAACATTTTTAAAATGAAATCCTATATGTAGACTGTCTCGAAAAGTCATTTGAGACCCAGCTGTTTGACTACCATTGTAACAAGAGAATATTTGTCTTAATTATAACAATTGGGTGTTCCTTGCTAAAACATGTTGTTATGAGCAGTTGTGACGTTTCTGCCTTGTTCTCTAAGTGGCTACCATGTTATAACAGATAAGACGGAGCCTCTCTATTTTACTGTATAATACTAAATAAACACAGATGTAACGGTTCTACCAGTAATAATGGCAAACTTCAAAGCAGACATTCAGAGGTAATCCCCTTAAGATGTATCCATGTGAAAGTCCAGCAGATTGTGTGATCATGAAGAAGAGGGTGGGCAGCATTCCTCTGTCCTTGGATTGAAACCTGAGAACACAGCTAAATTCTCATATAAAGCATTGTGCGCCTTTGCAGGCTTAAAGGTCTTGGATTACCAACAGACAGAGCATGATGAAGCCCAACAAAACACAAAGCCTTGAGGGTAAAGTGAAAAGAAATTCAACTCGATAATGATTTTCATTTCGTGGCACTGTAATTTCTATGTTTATGCAGGTGAATCTTCCTCCCATCCTGATGGTAACTATTCAGGTGTTAAGGTGAGTTTATTATCTGAGCGAAGGAATGGAGGAATTTAATGAGCATTTACTTTCACAGACCCTAAACAAAAAACGTTGTCGGCATCATTGTTCTACTCCACACTAGTTACTGTGTTAATTAAACTCAAGTGTTTAATCCAGAGAGTAGTTCTATATATTATATATATATATAAATAAATAAATACCTGTAATATCTATATTACAGTTATTTTTATATAACCACAAAAAGTACAAGACAAGAAATATTTCACAATAAAGTCAGAAATAACTCATCATGTCTTCAGTACGTATCCTAATTAGGAGGACATGATGTTGCATTGGCGGTCTGGGTTTGATCCCTTGCAGGCTCAATAAAGTTATTTGGTTGAAACCAAAGCATCTTGGCTGTTAAATATCAACCTTTGTCAAACCTTTATTTGGATGCTTATAAGGAATTAGGCCACTGAGGTGCTGTAAAAGTGGTAGGCTGATGTACAACTAGGGCTGGGCGGTATGGCCAGAAATCCATGTCACGGTATTTAGAAAGATTCTGACGGTAACCCCGGTATGTGACGGAATGGATTTTTCAAATAAACACATTAATTTATTGACCTCCGAAAAGGACCGCTCAGAACGCTGGATTTTATCTACCCGTATTATAAATAAACCATCATGGACGACATTGCGGATAGATTCTCTCCAGGAAGTATGGACATTACTTTTCGCTCGTCGCAATTAAAGACAAAAATGTAGTGGTGAGTTGTAAATTATGTGCAGTTGCAAAGAAGCTATCCACATCTAAGAGTAGCAATTCAAATCTTATGAAGCACCTGTTGAAACAACACGCTTCGACAAAGCTAGTAGCGAAAGACCGCAGCCCTGCGGATGCTGACAGCCAAGGCTAGAAAGAAGAGGCCTTTGAGAACAATCTGTAGATACCCACACCGCCAGCCCTCTGACTTTCCTGTCACTCTCTATTACTATGTAATCACATTCCTTAATATATAATCTAATTATTCCTCAGTAGGCGAGGACATTTTTTACAGGTCTTGGCACAAAAAATTAAGTATTATCCTGTCACTAGGGAGACTTCCTCTATCAAGAACCTGAACTTTAATCTGTATCTATACCTCACCAGTGCACATGTAAAAAAAAAAAGCTTGACTCATGTTGTGCCTGTCAGTAGCTGAGTCAATAAGTCGGAAATACCAGTCACTAAACTGCTTTCCCTCTGTGCTGCCTCATTCTTGGAGCGTTTCGCCAGAGTGTATTTTTGAGAAGACTGATTTCATTGAATTATAATTTCCCCGCACATTCAAAATAGCAGAGTTTCACACGTAAACGTTTCACTTCTCATTTTGACACAGTCCTGCGTTCATTGATTTCACTACAACACTATTACAGAAGGGGAAACAACCTGACTCAACATCGGGCGAAAACTGCAACATGAATCATCCTGCCTCATGTGTGTGGGAGGGGGGAGTAGTCAGGTGACCGAGTAGTAGCAGAAACGGTACAACTTGGTGATATCATCATCCTTGCATCTTTTGTGAACATCTGCGCTGCTGGAAGTGAAAGCCTTGGTTTCTTCACAGCTTTTCAGAATCTCAATAATTTTATTGCATTTACACCACTGAATGAATGTCATTCATGGATTTAAAATGATTCCACCAGCAGCTCATGGGAGGTGGAGTTCTCTTAACACCTTTCACATGACAATACTAAGTTATGGGATGTGTTCATTCGATGTGTCTGAACAGGGCTTTCTGCATACAGAAAAAAAAAACTAAAGCCATGTGAAGAAAAGATTTGTGTGAGGCTTCAAGCATATTGTGACCTTTTCACAACTCAACTACTGGGATTGTTGGATAAAGTGGTTCTCTCCTCACATATCCACCCCTCCCCTTCTTCACCACCGACTCCCACAAAAGGTATTTTCCCTCCAGAAAAAAAACATGCCGGGGCAGATTGAGATTTCAACTTGTTTCGTGCCCCAGGCTTAAGCAACTAGAAATGCAGCTAAATGTTGTAAATATGATTACTGCTAAAAATTCTGTGTCTCAGACTAGTTATGTAAAACACCAAGTCTGCTTGATGCAGAAGAGCTTTGACAGAAGCATTTATTAAAACACTGATCACTTTAGCAACCTGCTGCCAGAGAAAGAAAATGATGCGTTATTAACGTCCCTGAGACATTCAGCTGCCTGGTGGAACGAAGGCCTTCTAACAGAGGGGACAGGACTTAGTTAGTCTCTGAGCAGAGTGTCTCGGAACCAGGGTCTTAACAGCTAGCAGCTCCTCTGCTGCTACCTAAAGTCACTTTGGAAAATGAAATATTTCAGGCTTATGGAGACACAAAACACTGAAGAGACAAACCACGTTTCTTTCTGGATAACCCTGCCTAATATTTGCTGTAGCCCTCTGTGATGACACCCTAACTGTGTCAATTGAGTGCTACCACTATAATGAAGGAGACGGCTTTGTTTTTCTAGAAAGTCATAATAGTCATAGTTATAACTATTTATTAATAGTCTTTGGCACTACAGTTATGACTAGCTGCAACATTTTAACAGCCCCTTAGCGACACTGTTGCTGACGTTCTAAAACTTTTTAAAGCTAATTGTGAGCAAACACAACAGGGAGTGATGAATATGAAAGGGCTCTCAATTACCTACGTGGCACAACAACCTTGCCCCTAAAATTTCTAAAATTGCCATTATCTGTCAAAGATAACTTTTCCAAACAGTGTTTACCATCGGTGACCTTTACTCCCACCCATCCCGCAAACGCACATACTTTGTAACTGCTCAGATCTTTTCTGACTGCTCAGCCCTCTAAAGTCACCCCCAAAAGCCTCCCGTGGAGTCAAACTTCTAACTCACAGTCCCTTTGAAAGCCTTCCTTCTTTGATGTGAGGAATGCTTCAGATGAAGCTGAAAAATGACTACAGCTGCTACCTATCACTATGTGGAGGATAAATATGGATTTGATCATGATTGTAATGTAAATCAAATGCTCACCGTGTGTTGGTGAGCATTTGCGTGATGATGCGTCCCCTTTTGTGGAGTCGCTAATCCGGAAACAGGCCAGATAGCATCAATGGATGGAGATAGTGACCCTTGCTGTGTCGAGTGTTGGAGCAGCAATCAACCCCCACCCACTCAGCCACCAGCCAGACTGCCCGCCAGCCGCTCTGACAAAGAGCAGCTCTGTGATTGCAGAGATGTCCAGTGACACAAACGCAACTCAAGAGATAAGAGGGAGGGGTGGACATTTATTTGGAAACACGAGACGAGGTCGGTGGTGCCAGCGGTGCTGATAATGTTTGAACTCTTTCAGAAACAAGAAAAGCAACTCACTATCAGCATCAGAGATCAGAAGCTATAGGTCTGAATCATTGATTCCCAAATCAGGGCTTGCCAGGTTGCCCTCTGGAAGGTGAATAATATTTAATTGAGTAAATGGGGACTCTCATTAGATGTTTGGTCTCACACACAACAACAAGGAGTGCTTATCTTCTATATAAATACAGGTGACAGCGTTACAATTTTGAGAGGGAAAACATGGACGTTCCCTTAACTTGACAAAGTCAAAAGTGTGTTATCTTTGGCCTCTTATTTGCCAATTCAAACATACACGCTTTATTGTATGTGACGACAGGGCTCTCAAGTGACAGTCACTCATTTCGGTCTTTGGTCACGCACTCCCGTCACACATCCAATTTCTCACGCTAAAAAAAGTCGGACTTCGGTCCGAGCCGTGTTGGTTCCTCTTCAAACCCCCCGTACTGGCCGTATGGTCACCCCCGACAAAATGTCGCTCCAAGTTTTTTTGAAAAGCTGAGAGGTCTGTAATTTGCTAAACTGAACATCGGGTAGATCGCAGACCCGAAACCCACACTTTATTCAGCTGAAGCTACACACCTGTTTATTTACAGGAGCACGTTCATTATGAATTCATAACTCTTTTTTCTTTTCCAACGGGCTAAGATATCGATTTAAGGCTCGAAACCAATGCTGGATTCTATAAAAGAAGCTGAAGAGGTGTTAAAAACGTGAATGTGACCACACGTAATAACTAAACAGTCCTAACATAATTTCAGGGAAGTTACAAGTACACTAAGAACCCGGAACGTGGCTACAGGCGACCGACGCTCCCTTCGGAGGGGGGCGGGGGTTTCGAAGGAACAACTCAGGACATGAGCGACTTACCATTGAGAAGCGTCCCGCTGAACACGAGAGCCAGCAACAGGAACGCGGGGGGACCCATCCTCTTGGAGAAAGTACCTGTGGAGACCTCTGTGGATCGGCAGGAAATGACGAGCACAAGTCGGTGTGCACTTTACAAATATGCGCAGCCGATATGCTGCGTGCTTTTGAAGGGGCGGGGAAAGTCCGAACTCACCGCAGTGTCAGAACAGAGCGCAGGTGAAATACGAGAGGACACGGGGGGGGAGGAGGAAGGGGAGACGCGGGAGGGGGAGGTGGGAGAAGAGGAGCGGAGATGGGTGGGGAGAAGGCACCAGGGCGCCCAGATAGCAATGAGTCGGCGGACCGCCGGCGGTTCGCCAGAGATCGTAGCAGCGGCAGAATGGCGTAATCGCAAACACGTTTGCCAGCGGACCGCCTTCCTTTCGCGGACGGACAGCAGGTCAAGCACCGTTCCGCCGCAGTTATAACAAAGGCAGTTTTACCGCGGCCCGCCGGAGCCAAACCCTATGTATGTATGTATACAGTATATACATATATATATATATACATATATACATATACATATATATATATATACATATATATATATACACATACACATACATATATATATACACATACATATATATATACACATACATATATATACACATACATATATACACACATACATATATACACATACATATATATACACATACATATATATATATACACATACATATATATATATATACACATACACATATATATATATACACATATATGTATGTGTATGTATATATATATACACATACACATACATATATATATATGTATGTGTATATATATATACACATATATATATATGTATGTGTATATATATATATATGTATGTGTATATATATATACACATATATATATATACACATATATATATATATACACATATATATACACATACATGTATGTATATATATATATATATATATACATATATAGATAAACCACATACTTGAGGGGGCCCTGTCCACGGGGTGGGCGAATTCCCAGTCGTAATTTTAAGTTTTTATACCACAAAGGTTCCCCAGGGTAAACTTCACTTCCTGCCTGGTCCTGTCATTCCCAGTGATCGGCGGATTGTTTCCACCTGTGTCCAATTACCTGCACCTCCCTTGTGTATTTAAGCAGTGTGTGTTGTTTGTCACTTGTGGCGTCATTGTCTTTGGTCACGCATGTCTGTCAATCGTCCTGGATGTTCGTAGTTCCCGCCTGCCGTTTTTCCCGTTTGTTGCCTTTTGGACTATTAAAGTCTTTTTGTGTTCAAACTCTGCATTTGAGTCCTACCTCCCACGCATCCCTGACAGAAACAATAGCAGCACACTTACAAATCGTTCCTGGAGCTCGCTATCCTGCCTCAAGCTGCTGTCAAGCAACGCCAAATCGTCCTGGGTCTTTATGGGGAGTAAAAGACCACTGGGCTCCTAGTTAAGATTCAAAACCCTACCATGTGCTTAATTAAAAGGCCTAATAACACATTCAACACAAAGAGATATTAGTTATACGCAGAGGTGTCAAGTAACGAAGTACAAATACTTCGTTACTGTACTTAAGTAGAAATTTTGGGTATCTATATACTTTAACTGGAGTATTTATTTTTCAGACGACTTTTTACTTCTACTCCATACATTTTAAAAACAGTCTTGTTACTTCCGGCTTGTCGTAGTTCAAAAACACAAACACAAAAAAACCTATCTAGATAAATCGCGCTATCCGGACAGAGTGCATTTGATTGTGTTTGGATGAGAAGTATAAACATTTAGCATCCAGACACCCGATTGGTTTTCTCCACGATGCGCCGGCAGATCGGAGTGACACCGGGTGGGAAAAGTGGTCGGTGGAAAGTTGGTATTTAGCGACATGGACCCTCCTTCCATGTAATGTTAAATGAGTATCTTCCCATGACGTAGTAAACCTGGGGGAGACACAGCAGTCTACCTAATCAATGGGAACAACATGTGTGTGCGCCCTGTGACTCGTGTCACTGAAAAATGGGTTCTGGTTTTATCTGTTTAAGTCAGATACATTTGTTGTTTTGGTGTTGTGTCTCTGAATATCGCCATGTTTCCACCATCCCAATGGCAGGTCGCGTGATCTGCAGGCACCTTCTGATCACATTGTAACGGACTGACGTGTTGTGTGAGCGAGGTTATGCATTAAGAGTTTGTTCTTAATGGAATTTCTTAAATTACTTTTATACTTTTTGTTTTGTTTTGAAACCAGTACTTTTATACTTTTACTTAAGTAAAAAGCTTGAGTTGGTACTTCAACTTCTACAGGAGTCTTTTTAAACCCTAGTATCTGTACTTCTGCTTGAGTAATGAATGTGAATACTTTTGACACCTCTGGTTATACGTATTTAGAAGGCATAGTTATTCAAAAGGGGAGAAATTCTATAAAAGGACGAGGTACAAACAAATGAAGCTCAGGCGTAAATTCAGTCAGGATGACAAGCAACAATCCTGTCCATTTCCCATGTTGCTACCTCCCTGTGGTAACAATTTCAGCTGATTAGGGCGGCACGTCAAATTAGCCAACCATAATTTAACGTTGTTTCCGTAAGACAATCACATCATTGTTGTCAAACTCTAAGAACTGTTCTCCTCTCTGTTGTATCAAATGTCATTTCTGCGCGCAAACATCTTACTTTTTTGATAACACAGCATTTGTGGCGATTAAGACAATTACAGATTTGCATGTCGATCTATTTCAAAGACTGCAAAATATTTCACTAGCAACTCCGTCCCAATCAGGGACAGACCCCGCCGTAATCTCCACCCTACTGGCACTGGTCGACGAACACCAACGAGCCTCGTCTCCAACACCTGGAAAACATGGCTATTCTTTCCACATCAACCACCGTCGCAGCCAACATGCGCCATCGGGATGGCGAGTCAAGCCTCAACATCCATGCAGATTGAAGCAGCTCAGCATTTACTGGCATCTGCAGTCCCCTGATCTTCCACTAACCTGGTTAGCATTTTCATGCCATCCCCAGAAAGTGGTGCTAGCATAGCGTCAGAATGTAACATATCTGCAGTGTTTAAATCAACAGATCCGCAAATGAGCAGAGATCTATCTACCTGAGAATTTATTTTAGCCTTTGGCTTATATTGTGATTGTGATTTGGCAGGAACAGGAGCTAAACTCTTAAATGGCCCAATCTCAGTGCGAAATACAGCAGTGACATATTCCGACGTTAGCCATGAAGCTTTCTCCAAGAAAGACAGAAGGACTCACAATTGCAAAAAGAAGATTCACAAATGCACACGACAATTTACAACTATATTTCGATTTGCAAATGCACACAGAAGGATTTACAAATACATGAAAATGGATACATTTATATTTATATTTGTTTCTTGATGTGTATGTGTAATTTGTTTGCGGATCGCTTCACATTTATGTGTGGGTTTTTTGACACTCGCTTAATGCAGTAGATTCACAAATGCGATTTTTTCCACATGGACCTTTCTTAACCAATCACATGAGCGCAGCCAGGAAGCCATCCGGCCTAACCTACTCCCCCCCCCTCAAGAGGGCGGGAGAGGAAGTCTGCCACGACCATCTGCGCCCCCGGCCTATGGACCACCTTGAAGTTAAAAGGCTGTAGAGCCAGATACCACCGAGTGATCCAGGCGTTTGTATCCTTCATGCGGTGGAGCCATTGGAGCGGGGCGTGGTCAGAGAAGATGCTAGAGGTCAGAGGAGAATGGGCCGACTGATTCAAGCTGATAGAAGAGCAACTTTGACTGAAATAACCACTCGTTACAACCGAGGTATGCAGCAAAGCATTTGTGAAGCCACAACACGCACAACCTTGAGGCGGATGGGCTACAACAGCAGAAAACCCCACCGGGTACCACTCATCTCCACTACAAATAGGAAAAAGAGGCTACAATTTGCAAGAGCTCACCAAAATTGGACAGTTGAAGACTGGAAAAATGTTGCCTGGTCTGATGAGTCGATTTCTGTTGAGACATTCAGATGGTAGAGTCAGAATTTGGCGTAAACAGAATGAGAACATGGATCCATCATGCCTTGCCACTTGCCACTGTGCAGGCTGGTGGTGGTGGTGTATTGGTGTGGGGCTGTTTTCTTGGCACACTTTAGACCCCTTAGTGCCAATTGGGCATCGTTTAAATGCCACGGCCTACCTGAGCATTGTTTCTGACCATGTCCATCCCTTTATGGCCACCATGTACCCATCCTCTAATGGCTACTTCCAGCAGGATAATGCACCATGTCACAAAGCTTGGATCATTTCAAATTGGTTTCTTGAACATGACAATGAGTTCACTGTACTAAACTGGCCCCCACAGTCACCAGATCTCAACCCAATAGAGCATCGTGGGATGTGGTGGCTTTGTGCCCTGGATGTGCATCCCACAAATCTGCATCAACTGCAACATGCTATTCTATCAATATCGGCGAACATTTCTAAAGGATGCTTTCAGCACCTTGTTGAATCAATACTACGTAGAAATAAGGCAGTTCTGAAGGCGAAAGGGGGTCAAACACCGTATTAGTATGGTGTTCCTAATAATCCTTTAGGTGAGTATATCCGGCCCGCAAGTAAATACTGTATGTCATCATAACTAGCCCGTCGCTGATATTAAAAGCCCCAGAAGGCACTGCAACAGCTACTTGCAATAAATCTAACGACTTCTTTGCTGGAGAAGGAGGCGGGGCTGCTCAGCGCGCGCTCACAGCAAAGGATTGCAGGGGAGGCATGAGGGATCGTAAGTATCGGGTAGCTTGATATTTAATCTGTGATTGAATTCGACACCACTATTCCATCCTACTCAATACTGTGATGTTCATGGTGTAACCACATCACCTGCGGATATAGACATGCAAGACACATGAGCAGGAAGTACGTTAACAGTAACTGTAAGCGAGAGCCGGAGAATAAACGCCCGTGGATATTATCAAACTGGTTGGTGTAATTGTGTAGTTGGTGGACCTCATGTGTTCTTTCGGCATTAGCCTCATCTCCACTCCTACAGAGTTGCAAGTGGTGAGATGCAGAGCCATTGACACAGATGGCAAAGACAGTTATAAGTGATCCAATGTTTGTGTACCAGTGGTGGCTTCCGGTTGACCCACAATCAGAACTGTCCCACCTGGCAGCATCACGCGTCCAACCTGAGGCAGAGTGCATGGATGCTTCATATCTCCACTGCACTGCTCATGTGTCACATG